GTGGGGGGGGGGGGGTGTATGACGGTAGCTACAGATACAGGAAGATCGATAGCGTCGAAAAGGAGTTGTAAAAAAATGAGAAATCATTAAGGAGGATCGGAGCCGGAAATTTTGCACCATTTAGCGCGAGGAGCGACCAGCAGCTGATCTATCATTTTCCCCGTGACAGAAGAGATGCGATAATACTGTAATGGACTTTGCAAACTTTGCCGGGCTTCGCGTATACAGCGTATATACGAAAAAGACCGATGGTAAAAATATTAGCGTCGTTAAATTATCGATAAATGAACGGAATAAAAGAAGGTCCGGGAAATTACCAGCGGATTAAATTACTTAAGAGACTAACCATTCCTATACGCAGCGCGATAGAGGGGACGGTCCAATTGTTTCGAGGCGCGCTGTTTTTTTTTTTTTCTTTATTTCTGTCGGCCTCGACATTTACCACGACCGGCGACGTCGTCGTTTTCGAACGTCTGATATGGCCGATGGTTATTCACATTTTGCGAGACTGTAACGCAAGTACCTATGTTTGGGAAAAAAAAAAACAAAAATTAATTTCGCGCGAGACACCGTAATGGCGGGTCCGCCCGGCAGGTGCGTTTTAACGCCGGTATCGGCGAGTGGCCATCGCGATTCAACAGCTATTTATTGTGTTCGATTTGGATCGGAACACGCGGCGATGTTACGATACGCTGTCGTCGTCAACGACGTTGTTATCTCGTCCCGCGCGCGCTCATTTTAATAACCGTTCCCGTGAAATATTACAAAAACATCATCGAAAACAGTATCCGGCGGTGGTTATCGTGTCGCGAGACGGCGGCAGCCACCCCGTACGATGTGCGATAACGCGCGATACGGTAATTGTCGCGTATCGACCAGCGCGTCGATCGGAAGCCGTCCGCTGTGCGCGCGGCCGGCTCGCTGCCGTCGCCGGACGCGCGGCGGCGCGGCGTTCGGTCATCGCGGCGGGCAAACGCTGCTGCCGCACCGGCATTCCGCGTCCGCGGGACGGATGAAACGCGAAACCGCCGATAACAATCACAACGGCACAAACAATAACTGTAACCAAATAATTATAATTACAGTTATCGTTATCGTTATTATTATTCGGTATGTTATCGCGTGAATCCTCCCGGGTCGTGGCGCCACGTCGTCGTCGCCGTCCGGCACTAACCCCCCCCCGAACGAGTATTGTACCTGCGCTCGTACCGTACTGCCGCCCACCGCCCGCCGGACGCGCCGCGACCGCGGTAAACGCGACGGAGTGGCGCGCGGCAACCGATTTCGCGCCGCCCGAACAATGCGCGGAGATAAAGCCCGCGAATAACTTCCCCGGCGGCGGCGGCGGCGGTTGACACGGGTACGCCCGACACGGGAACACGGTAAACCGAGTCCCCGGCGGCCGGCCAGCGGCTTTGTGTACCGCGTGGAGTACGATTTTTAAACGTCCGTCGTCCGCTCTCTATCTCTCTCTCTCTCTCTCGGTTCTCCCATCTCTCGGTTCTCCTATCTCTCGGTTCCCCCGTTTCTCCTATTCCGTTATTATTGTTATTATGCCGTACGCCGCATTATCGCCGTCGTCGCATAGCCGTTACAATTATTACTGTCGTATCGTCGCGACGGGCCGCGGTCGCGTGTAACGTCGCGGCATTATGCGATAAAACGTCATTGTTATGCGTCCGCGCGCACACGCGGGGTTCGCGCACACGTCGTTACGCGGAACGGTATGGGTACCTGCGTCGCGCAATTTCCACCGCTCCCGTACGAGCCGGACGCTGCGGCGGCGTATTTACGATTTCGCCAAAGAGCCGGGACACCGGGCTCGGAGAGTACGCCGCGCGGCTATCGGCGGATGCTACGGCCGGCGGGCGCGCCGCCGATTCGGAGGGAAAGCCGCCGCGCGCGCACGCGGAGGCGGCGGATTTTTACGTTAGCATTCTTACGTGTCTGCGCGACGACCAACCGCTGCCGACGAAACACGAAATCCTCGCGCGGCCGCGTTTTCCCCCCTTGCCCGGGCGAGTGCCGGCAATCGACGGACATCACGCGGACAGTTTGATTCGGGAAACCGCACGAAAAATCGAAAAACGTTACACTCGACGCACGGAAACGATTAAAATTGCGCGAAGATTGGAGCGAGATTTCCGGCGGACAAATCGTTTACAGATACAAAAAGAAGAAAAAAAAAAAAAAACAGCCGAATCAACTGCTGATGGTCATATCGAATGATGGACCGTTGCCCGTTAGATGCGAATCTATGCTTCGAAGTTCGGTGTTATATTTCGAAATGCCGCGACTCGTACGATTTTCTTCAAAATTTGAACTTTAAACGAGTACGTAAAGTATTTGCGACATTATAGGCACATAATTTGTTTATGGCCACCAATTATTACTTATGATAAAGTTGGTGTACAATTTTTAAGCTTTTGTGATTTGTATTAAAAAAATTGTTTGAAAAAACACGACTTAAAATATATTTTTAAATCATATTTACGTAACTTCTTAGTTTCGGTACATTACCATCGACATTTATCATATTGTTTTCGGTGAATTATACATGATAAAAAAAGACAAACATATAAATTTAAATTCAAAATAAAAAAAAAACAATTTAAATGTATGTTTTTATTGATACGTATAAATCCAAAGAAAACGCCAGTAACTGACAAAAACTACATTTATATTGGAATTTTCATCGCTCACGTGTGGTAATGATAATGTTGTAACATTGTGGATCAAATTAAAATTGGTTTGAATTTATGTTGCGGATCCATTTTATATAGTAAGTTACCTTCACATTAAATTTTGCTCGAAAATTCCATGATTATAATGGTTCTATAAAATATACATAATTTGTTTTTTCGCATCATACGCGCTGCAATACCTATCGGTTAAATTTTTAATAATGCAATTTTTTTTTTTTTTTGTCGCCGCGTTTTCTTTTTGAATTATTATACAAAAAATATTACATTATAAATTTCCTTAAACGCGTAAAATATTCTCTTATTAAAATATTATTATTTGTGAAAGCGAAAATTCAATTTTACACAGTTTACCAAACTATATATATGGAAAATAGTCGTGGAAAATCATAGGAAAAAAATGTCAGTAAATCCGATGAAAGGTTAAGCACGAGCAGCACATAAAGTACTTGTTTTAAATATTTTAAAACGAAACGATTTTAAAATATTCAGAGTGTACTTGCATTATCAGTGTTATAAGCTTTTTCCGAAATTCGATTATTTTCGTTTTATCTAAAAATCACGTATTTTACATTTCATTATTTAAGGTGTTAAAAATAACACTATCATGTATTAATATCAGAGCTCGTAACTAATATTTCTAAAAAAAAAAAAAAAGGTTTAATATATAAGTGCAATGGTAATATACTCATGAAACCATTCATATTATAATCACTAAAAGATTACGAATGAAACGTATTGAAATAATATGCTAGACAAGTTGACTGAATGTAAATAAACGAAAAACCAAATTAATATTTTTATATTAGAAATTCAGTTAATTCGGTTTATCTTTGAAATGCCATTATAAAATCATGAGTATAATAGTGTTAAAAACACGAAAGCAGGAACGATAAAACTTCGAAACATGTAAAAATTAGCAATTATAAATGCCGTGTCTTACTTCTGGGTTATATGAATAAAATGCATATCTTATAATTAAGTGTCCCTTTAGGAGTTAACAAAAAAAAAAAAAACATTAAAATTTTAGAAATCCACGAGCCTTGAATCCACTCACAATAATTCGACCTAAATTTAAAATTTGAATCACATAACCTATAATTAATCGTGTTATGTCGGTGTAACAGTTTACTAGTTTGACGAACAAACGGTTTTCGGTTATATCGTTTGCTATTTGATAAATGAACGCTGCACTTTTCTACAAGCAGGTTGCCGGAGCAAACAGACAATTAAAAATCGCATTTACTGTCTTCGGTTATTGGTTATCTATTGTTAAAATACCGTACAGCAAACAAAAGGTTTTGGCGGCATTGAAACCAAATAGCAAACAATAACGAACAATGTTTTATTATCACCAGAGACCAACGTACAATACGTTACGAAATCTGTTTTACCTATCAATAACGCACTAAGTCGAATTAATTATACTACAGGATACCCGGATTAAGCATTGATTATAATAATATCATTGGTTGTTCGGTGTTATTTTATCGTCGTATCCGTTTGATTACGGATAATTTCATTCCGAAAACACAGAAACACGATTTCATTTTCCCTATATATATGGTTTAGTAAGAAATTAAAAATTAAAAATTGAAAAACAAACAGCTCATAATAAACGTATAAACATTCAAAAAACGTAACACGTTATTTCGAATTTTTTAAACTACGTTCTAAACGAAAACACACAATGCAACGGGATTACGATTTTTACCGAATAAATTCGCATTGAAATGCAATCCTAATTTCTCTAAGATAATAATACCGATAGTCGTAAATTAGGCGTGTACCTGA